GTCGACTCACCTGCGCCCCGCGTCCCAGGCGAGTCCCTGCAGCCACCCGGGCCTCTCAGTCCCACTCCACGTGGGAAACACCTTTTAGGTTAAACAACCGTCTGCCGCTCACTGTGGGCTGTGGGACCGGGCTGGGCACACCCCACCCCGCCCGCGCTGACATCACACAGCCCCGTGAGGTCACGTGGGCGTCACACAGGCCCTCGGAGCCATGCAGTGTCCACCTGAACACTGGCTGCATCGAGGACCAAGGCCACTCGGATGAACAGATGTAGGGAGGGAGTTCCAGGGGCAAGACGCTGCTGGGGACAGCACGGGCTGAGTCCCACCTTCCCTGCGGGACACCCCCGCCCCTGGCCCACCAAGTTTGTGGGTACAGGCGCTTGAGTCCTGACCCTCCCTTCCTTTGTGTCCTGGTCCTTCCTGGGACACCCCTCTCTGCCAGCCAGCACTGGGTGCAGCAGGGAACGAAACCGAATCCCTTCCCTCCTGGGGAGGGGACAGAGCGACGTAGCTGCCTCAGACCAGACCCGGGCCATGGGCAGGTGCATCAGGGCAGGGGTTGCCCCTTGCCACGGTGTGGGCAGGCGGCCTCCAGGGAGGAAGGTGTGTCTGGGGTTGACGAGGGAGCACGAAGAGGTCCTGGGTGGAGGCTGCTGTGGCGACTTGAGAGACACAAGGAGCCCGGATGCCGCAGGAGGGCAGGGCATGGAACCACGTGGGTCATAGTGAGGATGGTGGCCTTTATTCTGAGCAAAGCAGGGAGTTACTAGCAGATTTTGTGCAGAGAAATGGAATCACTTTCACAGCATCACTCTGCTGTGCTGGAAACGGCTGTGGGGAGGTGAGTGAGCAGGAAGGACGGGATACTGGTGAGGAGGAAGGCAGGCGGCTGCCGGAGGGGCTGCTGCTTTTTGTTGTTCCAGTTGAAGGAGTGGGCCGTGCATAGTGGTGTGCACCTGTAATCCCAGAATCTTGGTAGGGCAAGGCGGGAGGATCGCTTGAGACTGGGAGATCAAGGTTGCAGGGAGCTGTTGATTGCACCACTGCAGCCCAGCCTGGGGAACAGAGGGAGACGCTGTGTCAATCAACCAATCAATTAATAAGAGTGGCAGACAGCTTGGATGTGGAGAACGAGAAGAAACAGTCAATGGTGAGCCGAGGACGCTGTTGGGGGACTGGAGGCTGGTGCTGTGGGCGTCAGGTGGACAGAGGCGTCCAGGGGACACGCCCAGGAGGGGGCTCAGGGTAAGGGCTTGGTGGACGAGGACACTAGCAGCTGGTAGTGAAAGCCACCAGCAGGTGCCGGAGCACCCTGGGGAGCAGCAGTTGGAGAAGGAGCCCGGGACCAGTGACAGGAGCAGGGACAGTCCCAGGCCTGGCAGCTGTGGTGCTGCAGAGGCCAGAGACGCTATGTGGAGGCAGTGGGTGCCATGTGGGGGTGGCCAGGTGAGCCTGTGAAAACGGGGGAGCTTCAGGGAGTGAAGTGGAGGAGGGGTCGGTGCTGTCAGGAGGGTGAGTGGGGCTGTCCAGCCAGAGCTGGCACCCACTAGAGCAAGGGCAGAGGTGTGACTAAGGGGCCAGGTGCCAGGGTGCTGCTGGGTGACCTGCCACCTGTCACACCCGGCAGCCACCGAGGCAGGACTGGGGTGCTGGATTTAAGTGGGCTGAGGCTGGATTTGAGTGGGGTGCTGATGGACTCTAAGTTGGGAAAGAGCATGAGGACATCCCGGGGAGAGCAGAGGACGTGGGACGCTAAGCCCCTGGTGGACGGAGCGAGCTGGAGTGGGGGTCCTGAGGGTGAGGGGGCAGTGCATGCTCTATTCTGGATGAGGAGGAAGTCAAGGCTCTGCCCCGGGAACAGGCAGCTGAGGTTGCCCGAAGCAGGGATCAAGGAACCGGGCTGCGTGGAGATGGAATTGGAGCTGGGGGGCCCCACCTCCAGGCCAGAGGGAGGGGCACCCCAGGGGACTGGCCAGGCTGCAGGGCCAAGGGTGCAGGAAGGAGAGAGGATCCCGAGAAGGAGGGGCAGCTGCAGCTGGGGGTGGGGGCGCAGGAGGCAGTCAGCCCCAGAGGTACGGAGCCCGTGGCCCAGGCATCACAGGCTCTGGGGTGCAGCCTGAGGGGGTTCTCGGGTCCCTCCTCCTGCGCACAATGAGACAGAGGCAGGGCTCTGGCCCCCACGTCACCAGCCCTGTGACCTCCCCCTTGGGACCAGCCCTCCCCAGGTGTTAAAGGAGAGTGAGGACAAAGTCTCCCCGGCAAGCACCCCCTCATGCCCGATGCCCAGCACACAGCGGTGCCCATGACCAGGTGACCCTGAGGGCCACGGTGGGTTTCCAGGAATGCCCTGGGCAGCGTTGCCACCATCCACCATGCAGCAAACACTAGGCTTCACCCGTGCACAGGACATGAGGCTGCCTTTCTGTTTGATGTTCATGATGGCTTTATTGAAATATACGTCATGCACCACGAACTCACCATCCAACGTGCAGTTCCCTGGTGTTTAGTGCGTCAGCGATGTGAGCCTTCACGATCCACACTGGAACCTTTCA